CAGCAGCGGGCCACTGTTCCACCTCAAGAAACCGCTGCGCCGAGGCCGCCTGATCCAGATCGTAATTTCCGTGAGTCACATGTGCCTGACCCTGAACACTATTCTGGACATATGGGGAAATATGGGGTATTCCTTCTCCAATGTTCACTAGTGTTTAGCCAGAAGCCCTACACCTATGCTTCAGACTGCTCCAAGATAGCATTTGTAATGGGGTTGTTGCAAGGCAAGGCGTTGGCCTGGGCGTTGGGTACTTGGGAAACTAGTCCTTCAATAAGTTCGAACTATGATATTTTTGTGAATGAGCTAAGGAAGGTTTTTGATCACCCTGTCCAAGGCAGAGGCTGCTAAACGTTTATCAATGCTTCGCCAAGGTACTGCTAGTTCTGCAGAGTATTCAATTGATTTCAGAACACTAGCTGCAGAGGCTGGCTGGGATGCAGCTGCACTCCAGACAGTGTTTGTTAATGGACTCATTGAACAACTCAAGTATGAACTCTGTTAAGGATGATTATGACAATTTGGACGCCCTCGTTTCTGCAGCTATAAAACTGGATAATCGCCTCAGAGAACGGCGTCGTGCCCGTTCGCAGTTAGAAGTAAGTTGGTGTGCGATATATTCGCAACACTGCCCCCGCGGCCTGCAGTTCTCGCTTTCTGGTAGTTAACATGTGTCGGAGCGGATGAGACCGGGCTTTCCGCAAAAGACACTCCAGTTGTCAACATGAACAACACCACGTCGAGGGCACCAGCCAGACAGCCAGCGGTTGAAAGCCGAGTGTCTGCTGAATGCTTCTGCACTGCCAGTGCTAGGTAGGGGCCCAGAGAAGATGACAGTGTCGGCCATTGTGCTAGCCAGCTTGCACACCGCGGCGACTTAACCTTTTCAACATTTCGACGGAAACGCTGCTTGTGGGTCATCAGGAGCCGCAGATTCCCTTCAATATCACCAAGCCTGACCCCAGGGAAGCACCAAACAGTGGCTCCTGGGATCTTAACACCTCTGACAATAGAGGAGGCAATAACCAGCGCATCAGCGACTCCATCGGCTCTCTCAGCAGCTCTCTCAGCGGCTCTCTCAGTGGGGCCTTCTTCCCCGCCCGGCGGTGAGGGGTCGCAACCGGACAGAGCGTCCCAGCGATTGTAAATGCTAACAGGAGGAGGCCTAGTAAGGAAACTATCAACAACACGTCGCCCCCCCTGAACAGTCACGAAGCCATCACTATCCTGGTCTTGTCCCGGCTGCGGGGAACGGGCTGGGAGGCTAGGCCTCCTAGTTCTCCTCTGCCTTTCCCTAAAGCTGCGCTCCGCTTTCCCTGAGGATACGGCCTGACTATAGCTAATGCTAGTGCTAGCTCGAGACTCGAGAGCTCGGAGATGCAGCTCTAACTCACTAACCCTGGATTCCAAAGCTACAACTACACTAGACTTAACGCATTTATCATTACCCTCAGAGAAAGATCCAGGGGTTAGACTCACCATATGGCAACTCGAGCAGTACAGGACCGGGGGAAAGACAGCAGCAGCCATAGGGATCGCAAGTTAGCGGCGAGGCTAGGCTAGGCTAGTCCGGACCCGGTTCCCGTACAGCAGACTTCGAGACCAGACAAACAATCGATACCTAAACCTCAGCTACAGTACAGCTGATTCAGAGTGCTTACAAAGTTAGCTTGGTGTACACTAATATGTGGATTTAATGCGTTTGTTAGTGCGAACAGAGTGCAGAGGGATAACACTGTCAGCGGATACGGAAGTCAGCACAATCCAGGGCATACAAATTCACATGTCGTACCAAGTCACACGTCGTGCGAAGTCACACGTCGTACCAAGTCACACGTCGTACATGTAGTACCAAGTCACATGTCGTACAAAGTCACACGTTGTACATGTCGTGCCAAGTCACATGTCGTACATGTCGTACCAAGTCACACGTCGTGCCAAGTCACATGTCGTACAAAGTCACACGTCGTACCAAGTCACACGTCGTACCAAGTCACACGTCGTGCCAAGTCACACGTCGTGCCAAGTCACACATCGTGCCAAGTCACACATCGTACCAAGTCACACATCGTGCCAAGTCACACATCGTACCAAGTCACACGTCGTGCCAAGTCACACGTCGTGCCAAGTCACACGTCGTGCCAAGTCACACATCGTACCAAGTCACACGTCGTGCCAAGTCACACATCGTGCCAAGTCACACATCGTACCAAGTCACACATCGTGCCAAGTCACACATCGTACCAAGTCACACGTCGTACCAAGTCACACGTCGTACCAAGTCACACGTTGTACCAAGTCACACGTCGTACCAAGTCACACGTCGTACCAAGTCACACGTCGTACCAAGTCACACGTCGTACCAAGTCACACGTCGTACCAAGTCACACGTCGTACCAAGTCACACGTCATACAAAGTCACACGTCGTACCAAGTCACACGTCGTACACGTCGTGCCAAGTCACACGTCGGGCCAAGTCATACGTTGTACCAAGTCACACACGTCGTGCCAAGTCACACGTCGTGCCAAGTCACACGTCGTGCCAAGTCACACGTCGTGCCAAGTCACACGTCGTGCCAAGTCACACGTCGGGCCAAGTCATACGTTGTACCAAGTCACACGTCGTGCCAAGTCACACGTCGTACACGTCGTGCCAAGTCACACGTCGTACCAAGTCACACGTCGTGCCAAGTCACACGTCGTGCCAAGTCACACGTCGTGCCAAGTCACACGTCGGGCCAAGTCATACGTTGTACCAAGTCACACGTCGTGCCAAGTCACACGTCGTACACGTCGTGCCAAGTCACACGTCGTACACGTCGTGCCAAGTCACACGTCGTGCCAAGTCACACGTCGTGCCAAGTCACACGTCGTGCCAAGTCACACGTCGTGCCAAGTCACACGTTGTACCAAGTCACACGTCATACAAAGTCACATGTCAAAGACACAGAAAAAGACAGAGACACAGATGTTTTTGTATTAGAGTAACATCAGCTGTTGTTAGCTGTTAGCTTTACAGACCATTACTGAAAGTCAAAGAAAGAAGCTAATAACCAGGAAGAGTCGTTTGTGTGTCTCTGTGTGGAGGAAACTGCAGCACCTGGAGGAAACCGTAGAACTTTGAGGAAACTGTAGCACCTGGAGTAAACTTCACCACTTGGAGGAAGCCGCAGCACTTGGAGTAGCCTGTTCTGAGTCTGAGCTGAGACCAGAGACCAGAGAGAGATCTGAGAGAGACGAGAGAGAGCGACCAGAGAGAGATGCCTGAGAGAGAGAGATGCCTGAGAGAGACCAGAGACAGACCTGAGAGTGACCAGAGAGTGACCAGAGAGTGACCAGAGAGTGACCAGAGAGTGACCAGAGAGAGACCAGAGTTAGGCCAGAGCTTGTCCAAAAGCATCAATAAAACAAGAGAATGTGTAGTTTAAAAACATTTATTTTCAATGTTGTTTTATTTCCAGTGGAAGTCGCTGCTTGAGGCAGTGACCAATCATGTGGCTCGGGGGGCGGGCCTTAAGTACTCTGACCAATAATGCTTAAATAGACAGAACAGCACACAGGAAAAACACAACATGGCCGCCTCACTAAACACCGGTGTCTAAATACAACTCATCTTCTTCATCTTCATGGTACAAAAACAACAAAGTTGTGTTAAAACAGACAGAAAACAGAATGTATTAAGGTAAAGAAGGTCCAGGTCACACACACTTAGAGGCATTAGGGCAAAGACCACGACACATAAGCAGCGAGACCACCGAGACCACCTAGACCAGCGAGGCCAGCTTCTGTTCGAGTCTGTGGTGAAGGCCTCAGTCTTTTGTGCAACTTTCCAGTCTCTGTTTTTGTTTCATACAAAGTTGTGCGACCCGTGTGTGTGTTTGTCTGTGACCTGTGTGTGTTTGTCTGTGACCCGTGTGTGTGTTTGTCTCTGTCCAGTCTCCTAAATCTGCTTTCAGCAAAAGTCTCGCACCTCCTCTTTTTTTATTCTCCACGAGATCTAAACATCCACCACTATGGCATGAACGAGAAGCTATAAAAATATACACGAGTCTGAACCCAACAAGCCCGAACCCAACAAGCCCGAACCCAATGAGTCTGAACCCAACGAGCCCAAACCCAATGAGTCTGAACCCAACGAGCACGAACCCAACGAACCATGGAACCCTGGAGGTGAGGCGACACCAGTGCGAGAACCAAAAGACTCACTTTGTCCGATTGTGTTTTTACTCTCAAAAAATTTCAACAGATTTCTTCATTTTTTGGCACATTTATCGAGACCATGGGTCCCATGGGTGCCGGGACCATGGGCGCCAGGACCACGGGCGTGACCACGGGTGCTGCGACCCTGGTTGCCAGGACCACGGGCGCCAAGACCACGGGCGCCGGGACCACGGGCGCCGGGACCACGGGCACGACCATGGGCTCCGGGACCAGTGGATCTATGCGTTTGTTATTATTGCATTTCTGAGTCTGATTCTCTGATCTGATGTTGGTGGATCCACAACTTTGTAAAGAGTTTAGAGCTGTACAAAAATAAATGGAATTTAGTTTTTTAAACTGATTCTCGCTCAGTGTCTTTCCACCAATCCAACCCCTCCCACAGTTTGAACAATGTGTGGGACAAACAAAACACGGCGGAAATACACAAAACAGAATCAACTCAGGGTAAAAAACAAACAACGCAACAATAATAACAAAAATAAAAGGTTTTCATATATATATCATCTAAGTGTCGCATTTATGCTCGCTAGGTCGTGTTTTGGTTGGTTTAAGACAATCTAAGGAACACCCACATGGTCCCATGGTCACCCACATGGTCACATGTACAGAGATTAGTGTCCCATCTGCAGGAGTCCTCAGAGGCGGTGGTGAGGGCCTTCTCTCTTGTTGCCAGATCAGTTTGGTGCTGGCGCCCCTGAATCCGGGGCAAAGAGTTTTGTTTCTAACTACGTCCGTCTCCAGGAGGTCCTCATCCGGTCCTCATCCGGTCCTCAACCGGTCCTCATACTTTGTAGTAGATGTTTGCCGGACTCTGGGGGGGCATCTCTTGGACGATGTAGACCGGATGGCCATAGTCGCCGCTGACCTTCTCGTAGTGCGGGCAGTAGGCGGAGTCTGAGGTGCGCAGAGGGATGATGATGTCGCTGGGCTCAGAACCGTTGTTATTGGAGGAAGAGAGGGCGTTGGCTCCTCCCCCCAGGCGCTTAGGGCTGGTGAGGGAGGAGAGGGAGAGGGGGGGGTGGTGCGTGTCTGAGTGCTTGGCGTGGCGGCGGCGGTAACACACGACGCAGATGACGGCGGTGACCAGCAGCAGGAAGGCGGAGCCTCCAGCGGCGCCCGCGATCAGAGCAATGTTTGAAGCCTGGAGAGGCCCATTCCCCCCGTCCTCCAGAGTCCCCCTGGACTGAGTGTTGTTCCCTGAGCCTCCTGCGACACACAAGGGCATTTATGTAGCACAGGTACACACAAGGGTCTTTATGTAGCACAGGTACACACAAGGGTATGTAGCACAGGTACACACAAGGGTCTTTATGTAGCACAGGTACACACAAGGGTATGTAGCACAGGTACACACACAGGCAACTCAAAGTGTAGGTACCACAGACTGGAGAGAGGATTGACCGAGTGTGACATCACCACAGTGTGACATCACCACAGTGTGACATCACCACAGTGTGACATCACCACAGTGTGACATCACACCACTGTGTTAATGGTGATGTCTGTGTGAATATTCGAGGGGCAGGTTTGTGGTCAGGGTCCTGGACATACGCCCCCTATGGACCGAAGGCTGTACAGGGGGCAGTATTTATTCAGCATCGGTTGTTCTCCCACTTAAAAAGACAAGGGAGCCCTGGAATTTCCATTAGAATTAACCCTCAACTATGAGAGACAGAAGGAGAAAACAAATCCAGAAAATCACATCACAAATGACGGTGTAAATAAGAATCAGGTCCAAAGTGCCACAGACTGTAGCTCCTTCTTTAAGACCAAAGTGCCACAGACTGTAGCTCCTTCTTTAAGACCAAAGTGCCACAGACTGTAGCTCCTGCTTTAAGACCAAAGTGCCACAGACTGTAGCTCCTTCTTTAAGACCAAAGTGCCACAGACTGTAGCTCCTGCTTTAAGACCAAAGTGCCACAGACTGTAGCTCCTGCTTTAAGACCAAAGTGCCACAGACTGTAGCTCAGGGGTCACCAACCTTTTTGAAACCAAGAGCTACTTTTTGGGTACTGATTAATGCGAAGGGCTACCAGTTTGTTACTTACATAAATTGCCAGAAATAGCTATGTTATTATGAATAATTAATAATATTTATCTTTGTGGAAACACTGATCATCTCAATGATTTCTCACAATAAATATATATAGTAACAGATAAAAATCAATATGCAACACTTTATTTTTATATTTTCTTTAAGTGCACATTTTTCAAATTGAACATTTTTAAATGATCACTTCTAAGACAGTCTTGTGAAATCACAATATCCCATTTTAACTAGCTAGCCACTAACATTTTTAACAAATCATGAATTACTTTGCACCATGTTTGTACAAATAATAACTCACGTAAAATACAAAAGTCAACTCTCAAATGTTTAAATAAATCATGTCACACGTGATGGCGATCTCACAGGAGTTTAGAAACCAAAGCGGTCCCATTTACGCTGCTACTTTCTCCTCTTCAGAACAAAAACAAGAGCAAACCAAACTGTTTGAGATCATTACATGTGTATCTACTGTAGGTTTATGTGACAGTTCTAAACTCATCGTTTCAACTCATTTAACTGTGATGTTGTGAATGACACAGTTCTTGTTGGAAACATAGTTATTATTAAATTGTATTCAGCACAAACAGCAAAACAATAAGTGGGAAATATCTGAGACAAACATGAACTATTTACAAGCGCAGGAGAAATGCAACAGATGTGATAAGCTACGATTCAAACAAAGACAGGAACAGTGCAAATGAAACGACTGCACAGTTTATAAGTTATATATATGTTAGATATCCAACAGAACTCTAGTCCACAGTCTCCGCGTGTATCAGGCTCTGTCATGAGCCCAAACTGATTTTTCTTCGGTTCTTTCGAAGCGCGAAGCAGTCTGCTCCGAAGTGCCTCGTCCATGTTCCCTGCAGCCGCTCCATGCCCAGAAAGTAATCACACACGGACCAATCACAGCGGAGCTTGTCTGTGGCGGAGCTTGTCTGCGGCGGCAGCCGCGTAGTAAATGTTTGAGGGTGCGCGGCAGGCTACATAAGGGCCTTGCGGTGCTGTAGCTCCTTCTTTAAGACCAAAGTGCCACAGGCTGTAGCTCCTTCTTTAAGACCAAAGTGCCACAGGCTGTAGCTCCTTCTTTAAGATCTAAGTGCCACAGGCTGTAGCTCCTTCTTTAAAGACCTTATGCAGGGTTTGTATCATTTAGAATTTAAATTTAAATACGATTTCATATTAAAAGAGAACTACTAAAGGTTTCAAAATCAATTGTTCTTTTTTTTCTGTCTGATCCCCCCAAATCGAGATAAGGCCATAGCAACGTGCATAGATACGAAAAAAGTCATACCGGCGCTTCACTCTCAGTGACGTCACGGCGGGGACCGGTGTGATCCAGAAGTACATCTCCTCCATGCTATCGCGCTTGTTTACATTTTGTTCGTCTATTCTTCGCACTAAATCGGTGGATATTCAAGATGACAAGTATATGTGTTGCAATGCACTGCTCACAGACGCACAATAGGCTTCAGACCAAAGGAAAAGAGGAGGCTTTGGACTGAAGAGGAAGAAGAAGAAGGCTAAGCTGGCTAAGCTACATGTGTTTGAGAGGAGGAGGATGGACTTGATCGCAGCCTCGGTGAGAACGGCTAACAGACTTCGAGTTACAGAACTACAGGACCGGTTTATTCAGAACTATGTTCCTCTCACGGAGACTTTACCTTCAGTGGAACCGCTGCAGTGAGCGGCGCTAGGTCTGAGACCGCGGCTCTATCAGGAGACCGTGAAATACGCGTGAGCCACTATTATAACTTTCTTATGTGTTCAGCCTTGTAGATTGATCATTAAAATGAAACGAGTCATTTCTAAAAGTAATCACATTTATATTATACAAATGCTTGAGTTTGAATACAGCGTTTGATTGTGCCTTTGTGGTAAAAGTGACATGAGGAAATCCATGTTAGCCTGTTAGCCTTAGCCTGTTAGCGATCCGTACACTGCGGTCAATTCTTATTTCCTTACATGTACGGAATGTAATGAGTACGAAATGGTAAGACCATTGCCTGTAAATATTAGTAAGACCATAGACTGTGAATATAAGACCATAGACTGTAAATATAAGACCATAGACTGTGAATATAAGACCATAGACTGTAAATATAAGACCATAGACTGTAAATATAAGACCATAGACTGTAAATATAAGACCATAGACTGTAAATATAAGACCATAGACTGTAAATATAAGACCAGGCTAAATCACTGTTACTCCCTGTTTAGGGAACGTGCAGGAATCCAGTTTGTCAGGATGACGGTACATTGACATGAAAACCATTGATTTGATTTAAGTTGTAAATATCAGATAATATGGCCCTGACCTGCGGAGTGCCACAGGGGTCGATTCTGGGACCTCTCCTGTTCAATACTTACATGCTGCCATTAGGTCAGTTAATTCAAAGTATGAAAGTGTCCTACCACAATTACGCTGATGACACTCAGATCTATGTCTCACTGACTGCAGGAGAGCATGGACCGGTGGACTCACTCCTTCAATGTATCCAGCGGAACAGTGAGTGGATGCAATGCAATTTTCTCCAGCTAAATGCGGACAAAACCGAAATGATTGTCTTTGGTCCCGAGAAACAAAGAGAGACCGTCATTTGTCACCTTCAGTCTCTCTCCCTAAGGCCTTTAAATAAGGTCAGAAATCTGGGAGTAATAATGGACTCTGACTTAAACTTCGCGCTTTGTGTTGCCCTGTGCAGGAAAAGCGCCCTATAAATAAAGATTGATTGATTGATTGATTGATAAACATCGTAGATATGAAAACTGGTTTGAGGTTGTTTTTTAAAAAAAAATCTGGGGTAGCCCTCTTTACCTCGCTGGTCTATGTAACATGTTTACGTGTGTGAGAGCTGCTGTCGAGAATTGAAGTGAAGTTGTGTCTGTAGTCAGTCCGTTGTTGTTGACGCTTTTTGTTGTTGACGCTTTTTGTTGTTGACGCTTTTTGTTATTGATGTAATGGCGTTTGGACGGTACTTTTCACACTCACGGGCTCTAACGAGTAGTTATTAATTATTCTCCTACTTATTTCCCGGTATAAGAGGCGTGTTTGTGATGATCTGCGTCAAGTGTGATCCCTGTGTGGTCTTACTACTGTCCTAAATGTGCGATGCAACATCGAAATTTCCCCACTGTGGGACGAATAAAGGAATTCTTATCTTATCTTATCTTGCTTTCTAAATGCCTCATCAGGTCCTTTTCTGGGTCTTTGTTTGTCTCTCCTCTTTATCTGAGGAAGCATCAGGCACAAACATGTGGCAAAAGGTGTAAAGCCTAGCGTACATCGACAGAGAAACTGGGGACAACTAGTTGCAAGGCGGCTTTTGGCAACTGAGGCCCTGTTTATACTGAGACGCTGCGCAGACGTTTCCAGGCTATTAACAGAAACGACCAGGCTCCTAATGCAAATTTCTCAGCGTTCACATGAGGTTGAAAAACGATGTAGTTCTAGCGCCCGGCCAGTAGGGGGCAGAGGAACTTTACAACACTCACACGACCCCCAGCCCCGTGCCCAGCCCCCCTCTCGGCAGTGTACTCACTTCCTGTGCCAGACCCTCAGAAAGTACCAACATCATTCTGCATTTTAACAGCAGCTGTGAAAATGGAAACTGAACCTAGAGCTTCACGTGGTCTCGTTTGGACGAACGAAGGAGTAGAATTACCCTCTGTGCTGTGCTCGAAGCCCACGAAGCTAGTTAGTTTACCGGCCGCCATTGTTGTTGATGTTTGTTCTCCGCTACTGTGCATGTCTAAATGTACGTGCGGGGAGCAGCGCGGAGGCGGGGGTCAGAGCAGAGGGGGATTTCACACCTTTTCCCTCTCGCGGGTGTGAAAGAGAGCCCCCGCTGTGCAGCGTATCTGAGCTGTCCCACTCTGCAGGCTGGACCCCCTGGAACACAGTCTTTGTATAAACGGTTGGTAGAAACCGACATCCAACTATACTGTTTTACTGCCACATTGTCTCCGTGTAAACTCAGCCTGAGAGGAGATGGTGGGAGATGATGTGTATTGCGAGCCCGCAACAGTTTATGTCAGAAAACACACTATAGTTGAGGCCAGTTTCTGTCGATGTACAGTCTCTGTCTCTGTCCTACAGTCTGCGGTCCTACGGTCTGCTACTAGGAGTTGCCCGTTTTCGTCATATTGTCGATGTGTGCGGGGCAGCAACTCATATGCGACAGATATAATCAGTTGCCAGTACGATGTACGCTAGGCATAAGACTTCTTCTTGTAACTGGCTTTGCTCTTCATCCGTTGATACTCGGTTCATAGACGAGGTTTTTTCTCATGTTCTCGTTCACTGTCGGAATCACTGTACATTTTGAATGGGGGCGGTACCCGCTATGACGTCACACCTCCGGGTGTGAGGCTGAGGCAACACAAATGTATTAAAAACATATTTTTTCAATAAAATAAAGGATTATTTTTGCTGGAATCTATTTCAGATTGGCCTTAATTGATTATCTGTCTTGCAATTTTGATATCCACAAATTATTGGACAAACCGTGCATAAGGTCTTTAAGACCAAAGTGCCACGGACTATAGCTCCTTCTTTAAGACCAAAGTGCCACAGACAGTAGACCTGCACCAGGCTTGGAAGACTCTGCAACAGGTAAGCAGCTGTAGACATGCACCAGGCTGGGAAGACTGGGAATAAAATCAACTGTGGAAGACAAACAAGACACTGATAATCTCCATCTGGGACTCCACCATCTCATCCAGAATCACACGGGGACCATGTAACAAAGGTACCATCAGTAAAAAGGGTACCATCAGTAACAAAGGTAACATCAGTAACAAAGGTAACATCAGTAACAAAGGTACCATCAGTAACAAAGGTACCATCAGTAACAAAGGTACCATCAGTAACAAAGGTACCATCAGTAACAAAGGTACCATCAGTGACAAAGGTACCACCAGTAACAAAGGTACCATGAATTCTGTGACGCTGTGACTGGATACATAGGCTTCTGTATTGACTGCTGTGTCCCACAGAAGGTCATTAAAGTACATCTCAGTCAAAACCCTTGGATGAACGCAGAAGTGAAACAAAAACTTCATGAGCGTGTTCTGGCGTTTCAATCTAACGATACAGTTGCCTATAAGCTATCCTGTTACGCATTGAAACGTTCTATTAAATCTGCAAAGCGCAGTTACGGAGACAGGTTAAAGGGTTATTTCAAGGAAGATGACCCTCGGCGCATGTGGAGCGGTATTAAAGCCATCACGTCCTGGAAACCTTGTGCTGGGAAAATCGGATCTGTTGGCCCAGCTCTGCCTAATGAGCTGAACTCGTTCTACTGCCGCTTCGAATCTGCTGATGCCTGTCCTACTGTCTTTCCTGATTGTCTCAATCAAGGTGTGTTCACCGTGACTCAGGAGGTAGTCCAGCGGGTCTTGTCCAGCACCATTGTCCGGAAAGCCCCTGGCCCGGACGGCATCCCACCCCGTGTCCTGAAACTGTGCTCTGAGCAACTTGCCCCTGTTTTAACAGACATTTTTAACCTGTCGCTAAGGAACTGTACTGTGCCGAACTGCTTTAAAGAGTCGACCATCATTCCAGTTCCTAAGAAAACTCCTGTGACATGCCTGAATGACTATCGTCCTGTGGCCCTCACTTCTGTCCTAATGAAGACTTTTGAGCGGCTTGTGCTGGACTTCATTAAGAGCCAGATCCCTGTGAGTGTTGACCCGCTCCAGTTTGCTTACAGACAGAACAGGAGTGTGGCGGATGCCACCTCCTTTGCTCTGAACTCTGGCTACAGTCACTTGGACAATAGTAAATCTGTTGCAAGAATGCTGTTCATTGATTATAGCTCTGCTTTTAATTGTCTTGTCCCAGGTAAACTGATTGAAAAACTCATGTCTCTCGGTTTAAGTGTTGCCATGTGTAAATGGATCTATAGCTTTTTAACTCAGACAGATCTCAGAGAGTGAAAATCAATGACTGTTTTTCAGATGTTGTTTCTGTGAGCACTGGATCTCCTCAGGGATGTATTTTGAGTCCTTTACTTTTTACACTGTACACTCATGATTGTGTGTCTTCCTCAGACTCTAACCTGATCCTTAAATATGCTGATGACACCACCATCATCGGTCTCATCAGTAATAACGATGAATCCTCTTATAGAGCCGAGATCCAAAACGTGGTTCAGTGGAATAAGGCTAACAACCTCCAGCTGAACGCATCCAAAACATGTGAACTGGTCTTTGATTTTAGTCGCAATAGTTCTCACTTGCCTGTCGCAATCGATAACTCCCAAGTGCAGATTGTAGAGGAGTGTAAGTTTCTGGGTTTAACTCTAATGACCTGAAATGGGTTAAAAACACTGACCGGGTCGTAAAGAAAGCTCGTCAGCGTCTCTACTTCCTGCGGAAACTTAGAGAATTTACCACTAACTCTAAGATTCTGCTGAACTTTTATCGCTGCACCATTGAGAGTTTACTTGTTGGTTCTGTGTCTGTGTGGTTTGGAAACATCACAGATAAAGAAAAGAGAGCTTTAAACAAGGTGCTCCGCTCTGCAAAGAGGACTGTAGGCTGTGAGCTTCCTGTTCTGGAGGCTCTTTATCAATCCAGACTTTTTAACAGTGCCCTGAGAATTATCAATGACTCTTCTGGCCACCCAGGAAAAGCCTTGTTCCAGCTTCTTCCCTCTGGCAGAAGATACTGTTCTCTGAGATGCAGGACATCTCGTCATGCTAATAGTTTTTTTCCACGAGCTGTTATCAGTTTGAATAGAGCACTTTAATGTTTTTGCACTTGTATAGATCTGTTTTAGTTGGTCAACTTCACAGTGACATTTGTTTACTGTTTTTAAAATTTGTTTTATTTTTGTCTTTTAATGTTGTTTTATGTCTGTACTTGTCCTGTGCACACTGGGAACTTTTACTAATGTATTCCAATGTAGTGTTACCGCAAATGGCGAATAAAATGAATCTGAATCAGTCACAAATGTACCATCAGTCACAAAGGTATCATCCGTAAAAGAGGTACCATCAGTGACAAAGGTACCATCAGTGACAAAGGTACCATCAGTAACAAAGGTATCATCAGTAACAAAGGTATCATTAGTAACAAAGGTATCATCAGTAACAAAGGTACCATCAGTAACAAAGGTACCATCAGTAACAAAGGTATCATCAGTAACAAAGGTACCATCAGTAACAAAGGTACCATCAGTAACAAAGGTACCATCAGTAACAAAGGTACCATCAGTAACAAAGGTATCATCAGTAACAAAGGTACCATCAGTAACAAAGATACCATCAGTAACACAGGTACCATCAGTAACAAAGATACCATCAGTAACAAAGGTACCATCAGTAACAAAGATACCATCAGTAACAAAGATACCATCAGTAACAAAGATACCATCAGTAACAAAGATACCATCAGTAACACAGGTACCATCAGTAACAAAGATACCATCAGTAACAAAGATACCATCAGTAACAAAGATACCATCAGTAACACAGGTACCATCAGTAACAAAGATACCATCAGTAACAAAGATACCATCAGTAACAAAGATACCATCAGTAACACAGGTACCATCAGTAACAAAGGTACCATCAGTAACAAAGATACCATCAGTAACAAAGATACCATCAGTAACACAGGTACCATCAGTACCATCCACATCTCATAGAACATCGTTGGAGTTGAAAGTCTGGTGTTGCTCAGAAACACCCCCAAAACATCACTGCTCCAGAGGAGATCTGCAGGAGGAATGGGCCAAAATACCAGCAGCAGTGAAAACAGAAACAGAAAACATCTTTGCCAACAAAGAAATATAACAAAGTATTGATGAACTTTTTTTATTGACCAAATACTTATTTTACACCATTATTGGCAAAACAAATCTTTGCAATTCAGACAATGTGGTTTTCTGGATGTTTTTCCTCATTCTGCCTCATCGTTGAGGTTCTTCTATGATGGAAATTCCAGGGCTGCCTTGCCTTTTTAAATGGGGAACAACTGGTGTTGAATAAATATTTGTTTGCCACTTGTTAGTCTCTGCCTCTGTCCTACAGTCTCTGTCCTACAGTCTATGTCCTACAGTCTCTGTCCTACAGTCTCTGTCCTACAGTCTCTGTCCTACAGTCTCTGTCCTACAGTCTCTGTCTCTGTCCTACAGTCTCTGTCCTACAGTCTCTGTCCTACAGTCTCTGTCCTACAGTCTCTGTCTCTGTCCTACAGTCTCTGTCCTACAGTCTATGTCCTACAGTCTGTCTCTGTCCTACAGTCTATGTCCTACAGTCTCTGTCCTACAGTCTATGTCCTACAGTCTCTGTCCTACAGTCTCTGTCCTACAGTCTCTGTCTCTGTCCTACAGTCTCTGTCCTACAGTCTATGTCTATGTCCTACAGTCTATGTCCTACAGTCTCTGTCCTACAGTCTTTGTCCTACAGTCTCTGTCCTACAGTCTCTGTCCTACAGTCTTTGTCCTACAGTCTTTGTCCTACAGTCTCTGTCCTACAGTCTCTGTCCTACAGTCTTTGTCCTACAGTCTTTGTCCTACAGTCTCTGTCCTACAGTCTCTGTCCTACAGTCTCTCTCCTCCCGTCTCAGACTCTCCCCCTCTCTTCCCTCCTCCCCCCCTCACCCCTGTCTCCCCCCTCAGTCCTCTGTTACCTGAGGTGGGGTCTCTTGGTGGCAGTGGGTGTTGTCTTTTCGGGGGGAGACCGTATGGACCTAAGAATGAAAAATAATAAAATGTAAGAATGAGCAAAAAAAGAGAGGGGGGAGGATGGGTGAGGCGGGAGAGGAGGAGGGACAGGGAGGATGGGTGAGACAGGTGAGGAGGAGGCACAGTGGGGGATGGGTGAGGCGGGTGGGGAGGAGGGAAAAAGTGTGGCGGGTGAGGGATCCTTGAGATGACAAAGTGAAGTGGAAAAATGTTCAGGACAACTCTTCTGTAACTCTCGGAGGAAACCCACCCAGACACAGGGAGAACATGCAAACCTCACACAGCAAGGACTGGGCTTCTTTGTGTGTGTGTGTGTGTCTGTTCAGCCTCAGACACTTATTTAGACGACAAACAGAACAACGTGACCTTTTCACACACAGACTGTTGGTATGGATTTTCCCCCTCATCTGATCTCCATGTCCTCCCTCCATGGGGGTTGGCTTGATCCTGGCTGACCCCCCCCAGACCAATCCAGTGGAACCTGAGAGTGACCTCACAGCCAGTATATAGAGAGCTGGGATGGACTAGTTTGGGGTCTTGGTCGGTGTCAACTCTCTAAGCAACATGTAGCAGCCTAATGCTGAGGCCCAGAGCCTCTAGGGTTCTCTCTCTCTCTCTCTCTCCCGCCATCTCTCCTTGGGGTATGATATTTTCTGTTATGTCTGTATGCATCTTGTTGTAATTCAGTGTCAAATGTTAGCAACCCAAGTAGCAAGTTAGCTCCTCTTCTCCTAAACTGGGCGTCAAAATGGCCGGTACTTCTAGTGTTAAATGTCCTCTTTTATACATATTGGTAAATTTGGGCCGAATATTTACAGCAACGATTACATTTTCATGATAACACAGACACACACATACACAGAAGGGGGTGCCACACAAGTGAGATCCAGAGAAAGGGACCAGAGCGAGACCAGAGAGAGACCAGAGAGAGAGACCAGAGAGAGACCAGAGAGAGACTAGAGGGAGACCAGAGAGAGTGTGTGAGACTTACTCTGTCCCACTTTAAGGACCACCTTCATGCCTTGTGAAGCACAGACTCCTCCTCTCATACTCTCCAGGCCTTGGCGAGTCCCATCTGACGTGGCTGAAAAACAAACACCAATGTGAAGAGACCAGTGGTGTGTGTGTGTGTGTGTGTGTGTGTGTGTGTGTGTGTGTAATAAGTGCATTATGGGCCTCAGGCCAAACACTCAGAATAAGAGAAACTGTTTCAGTCGAGTATTTATAGAAACAAGCAGAGACCGGATAATAATATAAATAATAAACGGGCCTCGCCGCACCGCGTAAAGATGGCAGACGTTTTGAATGTCTACGATCAATGATTGTGTGTCTGTATTGAAAAACTAAACCTCTTTCTCCCCATGTAACACTGGACTCAGTCACTTTCAGTTTACCCAAACCCGAGCACAAGTATGATCTGTGAGTGTGTCCATACTGTCTCCAGTGGAGAACATGGGAACTGCACACTCATGATGGTTCATGTTTAGACCATGATCAACTTTTGATGGTTCATGTTTAGACCAGTGGGGGCGGGTCCCAGCTCAAAAGTGTCCAAAATGACGTGCGCTGACATGCTTGCAATACCACCCCGGGCCGATGGGGGTGGACCCAGAAGAAGAATTAGCCAATGCTAACATATAGCATTGGCAGACCTATCAAAAACGTCTTTACAGGATGGACCAAAAGTTGTCTCTTGGCCCAAAGCTCCGTTCCACATGTGTGTCAATGCTGAGGGGGGTGAATTCTTTTGGACCACTCTAGTTTAGTCGCTGTGAATTTTTGAAGTATCTCGTTCAAATGAATGGAGCGATGCGTTTTTTCACAATTTTCTTGCGGGCGGGACCACTCGCGGCCATTTTGGATTGCTCCAGTAGAGCGGCGGAGATAGGCGTGACTCTGTCCGTTAATATATACAGTCTATGGTTTAGACCATGGTCAACTATTGATGGTACATGGGTTTAGACCATGATCAACTATTGATGGTTCATGTTAAGACCATGATCAACTATTGATGGTTCATGTTAAGACCATGATCAACTATTGATGGTGCATGTTAAGACCATGATCAACTATTGATGGTTCATGTTTAGACCATGATCAACTATTCATGGTTCATGTTAAGACCATGTGGCGTGAGGAGGAGTTTATTTCCAACCGACATGTGTGAAAATGACCAATTTTCATTTTTTCCATTTTCCATTGACATTAATGGTGACAGGGACAGGGCATGGCCTGTTTGTCAGAGGGCGTGGCCATAATAACCTCTGACCTCTCCCATGACTGTTCTGGCATTTTTAATCTCATAAAAATTTATATATATACATATATATACATGTATGATGTGTATATATATACTGTATATATATAAGTCCTGGGTCTACAGCCTCAGTCCTGTAGAACTGGGTCGTCCTGCCACTGTCTCCATGAGTTTCTATTCCCCAGTCGCTCCCAGAATACGTCTGGATCTGGGTTAGCCGGTGACAGCAGTGACCGCTGGGTTGAGCCGAGTGACCGCAACAACACAGACCTGCTGCAGAGACACCTGCTGCAGGAGATACATGGACTAGAAGGTCCTGGGTTCAAATCCACCTCCAGACACGTCCCTTTCTGTGACGAGTTTACATGTTGTGAGTGAGATTCTATCTTCTGGTCTCTCTCTGGTCTCTCTCTGGTCTCTCTCTCTGGTCTCTCTATCTGGTCTCTCTATCTGGTCTCTCTATCTGGTCTCTCTATCTGGTCTCTCTCTCTCTGGTCTCTCTCTCTCTGGTCTCTCTCTCTGGTCTCTCTATCTGGTCTCTCTCTCTCTGGTCTCTCTCTCTCTGGTCTCTCTCTGGTCTCTCTCTGGTCTCTCTCTCTGGTCTCTCTTTCTGGTCTCTCTCTCTGGTCTCTCTCTCTGGTCTCTCTCTCATGTCTCTCACTCTGGTCTCTCTCTCTGGTCTCTCTCTGGTCTCTCTCTCTTGTCTCTCACTCTGGTCTCTCTCTATGGTCTCTCTCTGGTCTCTCTCTCTGGTGTCTCTGTTCTCTCTGGAGTACATGGTATCGACCTGATATGATACCAGTATCAGTGCATCACTAGTATCATCTATACGAAGTCTGCGTTTGGCTCTACAGCCTCAGTCTTGTTGTTATGTAGGTTATTGAGAGAAAGAGGAAAAAGAAAAGTTTGGAAAGTGGAGGACGAATGTCTCTGCAGAGAAAAGTGGGTTATGGAGAGAGAGAGAGAGAGAGAGAGGAGAGGAGAGAGAGAGGAGAAAGAGGACAGAGAGAGAGGAGAGAGAGACCAGAGAGAGACCAGAGAGAGACCAGAGAGAGTCCAGAGAGAGACCAGAGAGAGACCAGTCTGTGTTTGCAGCTTTAGATTCTCTCCTGATCGACTAAAAACAACCATCAACATCTCCTGAGCACAACTGTCCTCTGTGACCCACAATGCACCATAACAAGCACATCCCTTTGTCACGCACAAATGCACCAGCCCCCCCTCCTCCTCCTCCTCCTCCTCCTCCATCCACCCCTCCTCCCCCCTGGAGCGCTGCCTGTACATGTCACAGTGCATTACAGCTCTCTGTGCTCACGCCACAGGAAACTATGAAGAAGGAGGTGAGAAGAGGACGAGGAGAGAGGAGAGAGAGGAGAGAGGACAGAGAGGACAGAGAGGAGAGAGAGGAGAGAGAAGAGAGAGGACAGAGAGGAGAGAGAAGAGAGAGAGGGGAGAGGAGAGAGAAGAGAGGAGAGAGAGGACAGAGAGAAGAGAGAGAGGGGAGAGGAGAGAGGAGAGAGAGGAGTCAGGAGAGAGAGAAGGGAGAGACCAGAGAGAGACCAGAGAGAGACCAGAAGGAGATTAGAGAAAGAGACCAGTGTAAGATCAGAGAGACCAGAGGGAGACCATGAGAGAGACCAGAGGGAGACCAGAGAGAGACCAGAGGGAGACCAGAGGGAGACCAGAGAGAGACCAGAAGGAGACAAGAAGGAGACCAGAGAAAAGAACAGAGAGAGACCAGAGGGAGACCAGAGGGAGAGTAGAGGGAGCCCAGAGAGAGACCAGAAGGAGACGAGAAGGAGACCAGAGAAAAGAACAGAGAGAGACCAGAGGGAGACCAGAGAGAGACCAGAGGGAGACCAGAGAGAGACCATAGGGAGACCAGAGGGAGACCAGAGAGAGACCTATATTCCAGAGACCTATATTCATATAATCATATTATTTTACTGCAGGTGGCAGCAAAGCTGTTCAGCTATAAGCTTTTTCAGGATTTTGGATATGAAAGTAAGGTTCGAGATCAGTCTGTAGCTTGTAAGTAGTTCCTGATCCAGGTTTGTTTTCTTCAGAAGGGGTTTGATTACAGCGGTTTAAACGCTTGTAGATGCGTTTATCATATTTAAGATAGGCTCTATTATCAATGGAAGAGAGTCTTTAAAGAGCCAAGCCGGGATTGCATCTAAAATGCAAGTTGAGGCTTTAGAAGATGCGACCGGAGAGATCACTTCCTCTTGGCTCACAGCAGTGAACTTGTCGAGGCACACTGAAGAATCCAGGTGATATCAAGTGCAACGCTTCAGCCTGTCCATCACCGACAATAGGAGTGGTTTCCTCCAGTTTGTCACACATGGATGTAATTTTATCTTTAAAGAAGTGAAGAAAATCAACACTCCTCAGAGAGCTTGGTATTATAGGCTGGATTGCACAATGGCAGTTTGTGAGCTTAGCAACGGTGCCAAACAAACATCTACTGTTGTTTTTATTTGCTTCTATTAAAGTTGAATAGTATTGAGTTCGAGCCCTGCGAAGGGCATTCTTGTAGTTTCTGAGACCTCCTTTCCACTCCCTGTGGACAGGCTCCGAGTGGGAGTGGCGACATAGCCTCTCCAATTTTCTGACGTCCTGTTTTAAAGTGTGGAGTTGAATACTGTACCAGGGCTATGACGATCTAATCCTAATAGTCTTCTGTTTTATAGGAGCTGCTGCATTTTAAAGACTCCATAGTGTAGTCCACAGTTTGGTTGATGACAGAAGGACTGCAGCAGCTGTGAGCAGGTTTACCTGCAGCGGTATTCAACATCGGCTGTACTAGTTCTTTGAACCTTGTTCTTTTCATTATGGTTTTATCTTGCGGCGCAAGAAAGTCCTCCAAAGCGAGATCAAACGTGATCAAGAACGGATCAGACCACGAGTTTTGACGCTGAACGTCAAGGTTGGAAACCTCACAGCCGTAGGTCAGGACAAGGTCCAAGGTGTGGTTATGAATGTGAGTAGGTTCCTCAACATTCTGAGTAAAACCAACACCGTCTAGTACGGCGCTGAAAGCTTTGTTTAAGCTGTCAGTGCTGTCGTCCACATGTATATTGAAGTCTCCAGTAATAACTGTTTTCCCATTCCAGAACTAGGTTTGAAATGAAGTCAGAGAATTCTGTTAGGAACTCGCTGTTAGGACCAGGAGGTCGGTATAAAACTATGAATAACACCGCTTTTTGTTTTCTCCACCCAGGACAGGTGATTGAAAGTGTTAAGTTTTCAAACGAACGAAAAGCATTGTTGGTTTTAGGACTGAGAAGTAAGTTGGTGTGTGATATAATCGCAACACCACCGCCGCGACCTGTAGTTCTTGCTTTCTGGTAGTTAACATGCGTCGGAGAAATGCACTCATTCAATCTGACGTAGTCGTCTTGTTGGAGCCAAGTCTCAAAGAGTGCAAGTAAATCCAAGTTGTTGTCTTTAATAAGTTCGTTTATAAGAAGCGATTTAGACGAGATTGATCTGACGTTCATTAATCCGCATTTAACAACCCTACTTTTAGAACTATTTGTGTCTATCTGAACTTTTATTAGGTTAGTGTGTCTGGCACCCAGGTCAGATTTCCTTGCAGATAGTGTTTTAGACTTCAAGCGAGGAACACACACACTTTCAATCTGACTAGGTTCTGAGGCTAATAACTGAACAGATAGGAGCTCAAAGGTTGTGGCAGAGCAGCTCTTTTCTGGACCGTCATTTGAGCCCACCAGAAGAATTTAGAGCCAGGGCCAGATTCTTAGCCAAAAGGGATGTACCCGCCTACATTGGGTGGATATCATCCAAGCGGATGAGACCGGGCTTTCCCCAAAAGGCACTCCAATTGTCAACATGAACAACACCACTTCGAGGGCACCAGCCAGACAGCCAGCGGTTGAAAGCCGAGTGTCTGCTGAATGCTTCTGCACTGCTAGTGCTAAGTAGGGGCCCAGAGAAGATGACAGTGTCGGCCATTGTGCTTGCCAGCGGCAACTTGCAACTTCAACACCTCGAACTGTTTCCGCCGAACATCATTGCCACCCGCGTGAATAACGATTCAGCGAAAACGTTGCTTGTGGGTCATCATGAGTCTCATATTCCCTTCAATATCACCAAGCCTGGCCCCAGGGAAGCACCGAACAGTGGCTCCAGGGATCTTAACACCTCTAACAATAGAGGAGCCAATAACCAGCGCATCAGCGACTCCATCGGCTCTCTCAGCAGCTCTCTCAGCAGCTCTCTCAGCGGCTCTCTCAGCGGCTCTCTCAGCAGCTCTCTCAGCAGCTCTCTCAGCAGCTCTCTCAGCAGCTCTCTCAGCAGCTCTCTCAGCGGCTCTCTCAGTGGGGCCTTCCTCCCCGCCCGGCCGCGAGGGGTTGCAGCCGGACGGAGCGTCCCAGCAAATGTAAATGCTGACAGGAGAAGGCTTAGTGGGGAAACTATCAACACCACCCCCCCATCAGCCATCACTATCCTGATCTTGTCCCGGCTGTGGGGGACGGGCTGGGAGGCTAGGCTCACTAGTCCTCCTCTGCCTATCAAAGCTGCGCTTCGCTATTCCTGTAGACACGGCCTGGCTATAGCTATTGCTAGTGCTAGCTCGCAGCTCGAGTGATCGAAATGCAGCTCTAACTCACTAACCCTGGATTCCAGACACTACACTTAACGCATCTATCACTACCCTCAGAGGAGGATCCAGGGTTTAAACTCGCCATATGGCAGCTCGAGCAGTAAAGGACCGAAGGAGAGGAAGCAGCAGCCATGGGATAGCGAACTAGCGGCTAGGCTAGGATACGCACCGAAAAGAGTGTTTAATCCACAATATATAGTTAAAGTAGTACTAGAATTTAATATAATGCTATCCAGAATATATAACTACAATATGGGTTTATAATATTTCGAATGTTCATTTTGACATATTCAAATGAATTATGTTAAAAAAACGGCTTTGAAGTGGCACCTTTTTACTTCCGCATAGAAACGCTAGGGGGGGCCAAATGGCGGCGATGACGTAGGAGAAGACCATCTCACAGCAGCAGCAGTCTGGGCTGAATCTGTAGGAGGTTTCACTGTCATCTGAACAAGGTATAAACATATTTTCATCCGTTTTGTACATAATAGTGTGCAACTCTTTTAACCTTTTAGCCTTATTTGTGAGATTCAAGCTAATTAGTGTTGGGCCAGTTAGCTAACTCTACTTGATATCATAAAACATGCTAACAAGGCTAATATTCGTGTTTACATTATGCCAGTCTCACTTTGCCTTAGATTTATTTACCACAATGTACATTGTAATATCCATAAATGCTAACACCTATTAACGGTTTAATTAGTATTTTTAGCAATGATTGCATCACATGTAAGTAAGTAATCTTTATTTATATACCGCCTTTCACAGACCAGAGTCACAAAGCGGTTTACAATTGTTATTTTTTGGGCACTTGTCTCTCACTCCACACAGAGATGGGAGCGGGGTCGCCGAACAGGAGGCGCATGCCAGAACTATTATACATATTTTTAGTGGTAGGGGAAACCGGAGTACCCGGAGGAAACCTACGCAGACACGGGGAGAACATGCAAACTCCACTCAGAAAGGCCCTGGTCCGGCCGGGATTCGAACCCAGGACCTTCTTGCTGAGAGGCGAGAGTGCTATCCACTCAGCCACCGTGCCGCATGTAATTATCATGTTAGCTCTTGTGTCTATGTTTTCAACTTCTGCAGCTTTTTGTTCATAAAAGTAAAATATTTATTTAATTCAAGTTATTTTGATTAGCATTTATGGATATTACAATGTACATTGTGGTAAATAAATCTAAGGCAAAGTGAGACTGGCATAATGTAAAAACGAATATTAGCCTTGTTAGCATGTTTTATGATATCAAGTAGAGTTAGCTAACTGGCCCAACACTAATTAGCTTGAATCTCACAAATAAGGCTAAAAGGTTAAAAGAGTTGCACACTATTATGTACAAAACGGATGAAAATATGTTTATACCTTGTTCAGATGACAGTGGAACCTCCAACAGATTCAGCCCAGACTGCTGCTGCTGTGAGATGCCCTTCTCCTACGTCACCGCCATTTTGGCTCCCCCTAGCGTTTGTGAAAAGGTGCCGCTTCAAAGCCGTTTTTTTAACATAATTCATCTGAACATGTCAAAATGAACACCCGAAATATTATAAACACATATTATAGTTATATATTCTGGATAGCAGCATATTAAATTCTAGTACTACTTTAAGTCAGTACTGACTTTAGGTCCGAGTTGGTAACAGAAGTAGAAGCTAGTGATAGGGAGGTGTATCAAATGTATATATTGTAGTTTTTAGCTCAGATGCTGCGGTTAGCCCAGACCCGAGTCCCCTACGAGCGGACCCCAAGACCGGACAAGCTACCCGGACCCAAACCTCAGCTACAATACAGCCGATTCAAAGTGTTAACACAGTTAGTTTGTTGTAGACTAATACGTGAATTATCAAAGATAATGCGTACAGAAAGAGAGCGCAAAGGGACAATCAGTCAAACACACTCACCAGATACGGAAGCCAGTCAAAAATACACGCCCCCCCCCCCCCCCCCCCCCCCCCTCCCCCCCTCCCCTCCTCCCGCTCCTCTCCCTCTCCTCTCTCCCTCTCCTCTCCCTCCCTCCTCCCGCTCCTCTCCCTCTCCTCTCTCCCTCTCCTCTCCCTCCCTCCTCCTCCCCATGGCCTCATCAATATCTTATTGCAAAGATGTGAGGATTTAATATGAACCATAAGCTTCCCACAGGGACCACCGCCGGGCATTACACCCAGCGGCCTGATGGGGGAGGGGGGAGGGAGAGGGAGAGGAGGGGGAGTGGTGAGAACGATGTACTGGATAAAGACAGTGATTTGACAAAAGCCTTAAGAATGAACTGATTACAACATCTGTCACATGGTCTCTCTGGTCTCTCTCTCTAGTCTCTCTCTAATCTCTCTCTGGTCTCTCTCTCTGGCCTCTCCCTCTGGCCTCTCCCTCTGGTCTCTCTCTCATGGTCTCTCTCATGGTCTGGTCTATGTTAAAGATGGCCGCGGGCCGTTAGCTTGCAATAAAGTAGTGTGAGGAAGAACATGTATCATGCATGACACATAAGAACATGCAGAGAACATGTTTTCATTAGCATTAGCATAATAGCAGCCGCCATTTTGTTCTGATCATCAACAGTTTCATTCTGCAGATCACAGGAGGACAAGTGACAAAAGATTCACATGCTAACTGCTGCTAAAGTAATTTGTGTTTATTTATATAGCGCCTTTCACAGAGACCTTTACAGATGTGGGATTTGTTTCTCACTCCACACAGAGCGAGGATCTATAATAACATCTGGGCTCTCTCTCTCTCTCTCTCTCTCTCTCTCTCTCTCTCTCTCTCTCTCTCTCTCTCTCTCTGGTCTTCGCCCTCGCTCTGTCACTTCCTCTCTCTCACAAATCGCCAGAATTTCCTCTCTGTCAGTTCCGATCAGCTGCTGGTCTGGTCTGGCCTGGTCTGGTCGATCTCTCTCTGGTCTCTCTCTCTCTCTCTCTGATCTCTCTCTCTGGACTTTCTCGCTCTGGTCTTTCTCGCTCTGGACTCTCTCTGGTCTCTCTCTGGTCTCTCTCTGGTCTCTCTCTGGTCTCTCTCTGGTCTCTCTCTGCTCTCTCTCTGGTCTCTCTCTGCTCTCTCTCTGGTCTCTCTCTCTCTTACCTATGATGTAATAGTCGTGCATGCTCTTGAACTCGTGTCCCCACAGATTGGGAGAGAACTCCTGGAACTTGATGGTGAAGCGGCGCTCTCTGCTGGGCTCGTCGCAAGTCAACACGATGTTGGCGGGACCCGTGACTTCGCAGCGGTCCGCCTGGTCCCGGGTCGAGACCAGGTACAGCTTATAGAACTCATACTCTGGACTGGACCGGGCTGAGTCCAGGGGGGGGCAGATCAGGTCCAGGCGGTCCCCAATCTGAGGGTACAGGACGTAGCCTTTGTCGTCACGAAACCTGGAGAGAGAGAAGGAGGAGCATGAGGAGGAGCACAAGGAGGAGCATGAGGACCATGAGGAGGACCATCTGGATACCATAATGTCATGATATTACACTCAAAACACTGGCACATTTAAAAAGGACAAAGAGAGAGACCAGAGAGAGACTAGAGAGAGACCAGAGAGAGAGAGACCAGAGAGTGAGACCAGAGAGAGACCAGAGTGAGACTAGAGAGAGACTAGAGAGAGACCAGAGAGCGAGACCAGAGAGAGACCAGAGTGAGACTAGAGAGAGAACAGAGAGAGATCAGAGAGAGACTAGAGAGAGACCAGAGAGAGGGACCAGAGAGAGACCAGAGAGGGATCAGAAAGAGAGACCAGAGAGAGACGAGAGAGACCAGAGAGAGACCAGAGAGAGAGACCAGAGAGAGATCAGAGAGGGAGACCAGAGAAAGATCAGAGTGAGACTAGAGAGAGACCAGAGAGAGAGACTAGAGAGAGACCAGAGAGAGATCAGAGAGGGATCAGAGAGAGAGACCAGAGAGAGAGAGACAGAGAGAGAGACTAGAGAGAGAGACTAGAGAGAGACCAGAGAGAGAGACTAGCGAGAGACCAGAGAGAGAGACCAGAGAGAGAGAGAAAGAGAGAGACCAGAGAGAGACCAGAGAGAGAGACAGAGAGAGAGAGACCGGAGAGAGACCAGAGAGAGAGACTAGAGAGAGACAGAGAGAGACCAGAGAGAGACCAGAGAGAGACCAGAGAGAGACTAGAGAGAGAGACTAGAGAGAGAGACAGAGAGAGACCAGAGAGAGAGAGAAAGAGAGAGACCAGAGAGAGAGACAGAGAGAGAGACCAGAGAGAGAGACTAGAGAGAGACCAGAGAGAGAGACCAGAGAGAGAGACTAGAGAGAGACCAGAGAGGAACCATGGTTCTCATGTTTTCTCTAAAACAATGGTATTTACTCTATTACTAATAGTTACTATTACATTCATGTGAAAGTATCTTAAATGAGGTCATTGTTGCAGTGGTTTATCAGGCTGGGCGCTGGTCCAAAGGTCTCACTCATCCCAACACTCACTCCACATGGTCTGAGGCTGTGATGTCACATTCACAGTCTGATAGGACCCACTGAATCATTACTGTATATTTAGACCTTAATATGGGCTGGACCAGAGAGACCAGAGAGAGATCAGAGAGAGACTAGAGAGAGAGACCAGAGAGGGAGCAGAGAGAGAGACCAGAGAGAGAGACCAGAGAGAAAGCCGATAGAGAGACCAGAGAGAGATCAGAGAGAGAGACCAGAGAGATCAGAGAGAGAGACCAGAGTGAGACTAGAGAGAGACTAGAGAGAGACCAGAGAGCGAGACCAGAGAGAGACCAGAGTGAGACTAGAGAGAGAACAGAGAGAGATCAGAGAGAGACTAGAGAGAGACCAGAGAGAGGGACCAGAGAGAGACCAGAGAGGGATCAGAAAGAGAGACCAGAGAGAGACGAGAGAGACCAGAGAGAGACCAGAGAGAGAGACCAGAGAGAGATCAGAGAGGGAGACCAGAGAAAGATCAGAGTGAGACTAGAGAGAGACCAGAGAGAGAGACTAGAGAGAGACCAGAGAGAGATCAGAGAGGGATCAGAGAGAGAGACCAGAGAGAGAGAGACAGAGAGAGAGACTAGAGAGAGAGACTAGAGAGAGACCAGAGAGAGAGACTAGCGAGAGACCAGAGAGAGAGACCAGAGAGAGAGAGAAAGAGAGAGACCAGAGAGAGAGACAGAGAGAGACCAGAGAGAGAGAGAGACAGAGAGAGAGAGACCGGAGAGAGACCAGAGAGAGAGACTAGAGAGAGACAGAGAGAGACCAGAGAGAGACCAGAGAGAGACCAGAGAGAGACTAGAGAGAGAGACTAGAGAGAGAGACAGAGAGAGACCAGAGAGAGAGAGAAAGAGAGAGACCAGAGAGAGAGACAGAGAGAGAGACCAGAGAGAGAGACTAGAGAGAGACCAGAGAGAGAGACCAGAGAGAGAGACTAGAGAGAGACCAGAGAGGAACCATGGTTCTCATGTTTTCTCTAAAACAATGGTATTTACTCTATTACTAATAGTTACTATTACATTCATGTGAAAGTATCTTAAATGAGGTCATTGTTGCAGTGGTTTATCAGGCTGGGCGCTGGTCCAAAGGTCTCACTCATCCCAACACTCACTCCACATGGTCTGAGGCTGTGATGTCACATTCACAGTCTGATAGGACCCACTGAATCATTACTGTATATTTAGACCTTAATATGGGCTGGACCAGAGAGACCAGAGAGAGATCAGAGAGAGACTAGAGAGAGAGACCAGAGAGGGAGCAGAGAGAGAGACCAGAGAGAGAGACCAGAGAGAAAGCCGATAGAGAGACCAGAGAGAGATCAGAGAGAGAGACCAGAGAGATCAGAGAGAGAGACCAGAGAGATACCAGAGAGAGAGCAGAGAGAGACCAGAGAGAGAGACCAGAGAGAGAGCTGAGAGAGAGCAGAGAGAGACCAGAGAGAGACAGAGAGAGAGAGAGACCAGAGAGAGATCAGAGAGAGAGACCAGAGAGATCAGAGAGAGAGACCAGAGAGAGAGACCAGAGAGAGAGCTGAGAGAGAGCAGAGAGAGACCAGAGAGAGACAGAGAGAGAGAGAGACCAGAGAGAGAGCAGAGAGAGAGCAGAGAGCAGAGAGAGACCAGTCAGAGACCAGAGAGAGACCAGCCTGTACTCCTTGTGTTTAATCACTCGCTGCCATCCGGCTGTTTACACACAGAGCTCGTATTAGAGCCTCAGCTCCGGGGGACGTGGGCGTTACCACGGGAACAAGTCTGTACAAACACTAGCTCTGAGCAGGAGCAGTTTACACACACACACACACAGTTGTTTCATAACTTTTTTTTTTAGTACGTACATAATTCTACATGAGTTCAATCATAGTTTTGAGGCCTTCAGTGTGAATCTACAATTTTGATAGTCATGAAGACAAAAAACTCTTGAGATGGACCAAACTTTTGGTCTGTACTGACACGAGCCACTCAGTTGGTAGAGCCCACCACAAGGTTCAAGCCCACCACAAGACCTACTTCACGACTCCCACTGATGACTGCTGTCGTTGTGTCCTTCGGCAAGACACTTTGCCTGAAGCCCCCGCTGAAATATCAAAGCTCATGTAGACTCACCACCTGCAGGAGGATCAGTGAGGGGCTCGTACTCTGTGTACTGCGTGCAGCTCTGACTGCCACCCCCCCGACCCAGAAATCACAGCCTCAAACAGTCAGACTCCAAACAGTCAGACTCCAAACTCCACTATGGCCAAGACCAAAGAGCTGTCGAAGGACACCAGGAAAAGAATTGTAGACCTGCACCAGACTGGGAAGAGTGAATATACAATAGGCAAGCAGCTTGGTGTGAACAAATCAACTGTGGGAGCAATTATCAGAAAATGGAAGACATACAAGACCACTGATAATCTCCCTCAATCTCAAGATCTCATCCCGTGGGGTCAAAATGATCAAAAATCCCAGTCTCTCTCTGGTCTCTCTCTGGTGTTTGTAAGATATGACCATATAAGGACTGACCAATCAGAGGCCTTCATTCAGTGGAAACTCCAGTTGGTCGTAGCAACCATCTTATCAACACGTCTGCTCCTGTTACAGCGTGATTCTCATGCACCACGTGTATACTCTATCAGCATCTTGTAACTGCTCTCTGGTCTCTCTCTCTCTGGTCTCTTTCTCTCTGGTCTCTTTCTCTCTGGTCTCTTTCTCTCTGGTCTCTTTCTCTCTGGTCTCTTTCTCTCTGGTCTCTTTCTCTCTGGTCTCTTTCTCTCTGGTCTCTTTCTCTGGTCTCCCCTCTAGTCTCGCTCTGGTCTCTCCCTGGGGTCACGTACGGCGTTGTGGGGGTCACCCCTCACTGTGAAGATGATGAGTTGTGTGTGAGATCACCCTCCCCCATCTCCCCCTCCCTCACCCCTCCCCCCTCCCTCCTCCCTCCTCCCTCCTCCTGGTCTTTCAGAGTGACCACAAAAGCACTATTATCCAGAGGAGGAGGCTCCAGGTCCATTCACACAAATGTTTAGTTTTACACTTTAAAACCAGAAGAAAACCAGTATGTTATATATAGTATATGAATATATATTATCATAATAATCTATATATTATATGATTATATTATATATATGATTATATTATATATAATCATATATATTATATTATTGTAAGCTGCATTTACAGAACACCAGGATCTGAGCTGAAAAAGTATCAATTAATAAAAACAAAAATATATTTTATGTGAGGATTTTAATATTAACTTTAAATCTTAAAAACATAGAAGTACAGAGTTTATTGACACCATGTGCGTTTTATTAATCTTTTCTATTATTATACTGATTTATTGATTAATAAAATAAATGAAACTAGAGGATTTTGGAAAGTCTTGAACACCGTTATTGGCCGTGATCCCAGCACCTCATGTTATCCGCAGTACTTTGTGGAAAATGAACCAATAATACGAGACAAAACAACATTTGCAATTTAGCAATTTCTTTGTAAACATCCCATCTACAGACGGACAAATGAAGGGACTGATAAACCCAACTGTATGTTCCTCAGTCAGACTCATGGAAGTCATGAACGTCGTCAGGAACTGCAAATAAACAACTCAAGATTTAAAAACATCCACATGAAGAAGAAATCATCCATTCACATGTATCTGTGACTTATCCTTCCAACTTGGTTGTTTTCCATGGCAAAGACAGTCATAGCAATCTTCAGATCTCAGACCAACACCATTTCAATAACCATCGGCCTACTTCCCTTTTGCCACAATTTTCCAACATATTAGAAGCATCAATAGACAAGACTCCGGAGATACATGGAAAAAGCATTAGGTATTTTCTGATTGTAAGTTTGGGTTCAGGGAAAATAGGTGTTCTTCACATGAACAAATGGTATTGAAAAATATACATTTGTTGTTGGAATGTTTATAGATCTTCAAAAAGCCTTTGATA